AAAAAAAAAAATAAAAAAAAAATAAAAACTTGAAAAGAAAAAACGGGTGCAGCGGACCCCGTCGCACTACCCCTGGATCCGCCACTGTCATCATTGCAGTGAATTACAGTAAATTTCTTAAAATTAGAGATTTATATTCAAAGGAGTCACTTGACCACCCTATGGAGAGAGCGTCATGCTAAGAGACTAGAAGACTCATAGCGATGCCATCACGCAATGGTTTTGTTTTAAACATTCTTATTGAAAAGCATTCGTAGCGCAAATCTTTGTGCTATATTCTGATTAATTTTTTAAAAGTAAAAAAATAGCGGTTTTGAACTAATCAATAAAGACACAAGACTGAAAAAATGTCAATTTACTGACTGACGTTTAAAGTAAGGGTATCGCAGGCTGGTTCAATTCAGTATGTAAACCTCAAGCTGTCTCGGTGGCTGGATTGTTGCTTCTTCCCCACCACTGAACAATAAATCTATACTTTGTTTGCTACAATTATTTTTATGACATGGAATTTTATGGCGCAGCCAATTTTAACTGCCACGCGTCAACATTACTTTCCGCAAGGGAACTAGTTTGATTTTTTACAGGAAAGTAAAAGGTAAAAATTCGCCAAATATCATTCCCGTGATAAATCTTTAAACTTGTGCTACAAACTGATAATTATTTTATTTATTTATTTTTATTTGATTTTGTTTGCTATTTCGTTAGAGCATGATATAAATAAGATACAATAACCTASATTATTGCAATGTGTTTTTGTTTTAATGTCAAAAATTTTCTGTGCTATTTATGGTGTGTTATTTACTTTCTCAAATACATCAAAACCACCCATCGTTATTAATTAAATACCATCAGCAGGTAGAAGTCATGTGTATTTGATTTGTGGTGAAAAATGCCGCCAATACAAGAAGATGCAAGCCATAACAAATATCCAGTATTTCTGTTTACATTGCTTTCAATGATTTTTTCAAGGAGAAGTGTACCATTATATTATCTAATGCAGTGTCAAAGTTTTCTTGATTATGTAAATTGAATGTGATTTGTATTTGTGCATCATATATGTTGATGCTTTTTGGAAAATCATTGGCTGTAAGGGAATGTTCATTGTCATTTAGCTTTTGGTAATAAAAAGTTTTTGCATGTTCTGTGATTGAATCCAATGTATCTTGATTCCAATAGTTGCATCTCTTAATAATAGAAAATCAAATGCTATTCTTCATTTGCACGTTACGTCATCGCGGCCATGTTGGTACCATTTAACAAAAGATTTCTCATTAGCATCCATTGTTAACGGCACCACAATATTGCCGCCATGTTTTTGTCTTTTAACTCTCTTGGGAATGCTTGCAAACCATCTATAGAATGATAAAACACAGCAACGATTTAATATAATGCTATAGGCATCATTGGAATGAAATGCTGTATATTTGTATTACCACTTCTTTCCCGGTCATGATCACTAGAAATTTCAGGGGGCTGAAGCCACCCTTCAGCAGAAAAAAAACGATGCTTTTTTATATTGTTTTCCGTTGTGTTGACGGAAGAAACTCAATTAGCCCCCCCTAAACTCAATTAGCCCCCCCCCCCTAAAATTTTGGCTGGATCCGCCCTTGCCAATGGCATACAGTAAAGGAAATCAACAGTCGAGGAAATGTATGTTACCAGTATGGCTGTCACTCAGTATATTGTATATCGTAAGTAGTATTCAACACCTTTACAGTTTCAGAAATTTCTGTCAGAAGTAAGAAATCTTGGTTATGAACCCTTGAAAGAATGGAATACAACTCATTACCTGTATTCATGATGTTTATTAGATCTGTTGATGAACATATTGGAGTTCTATGGTCGTAAATAATATTGAGGCAGTATAATGACATGGCTACACATTGTTGACCAGCGCCTCATGACTACAACTTTCCTATTAACAAATTAAGGAGGAAATTATTTCAAAAATTTGACCAAACCAAAAACGATATATCTCGTCAATATGATAGGAGTCAGAGTTAGAATCAAATTTTGTTTTACATAATTCAGTATTCAAACTACGTGTATCCACATTGGAAAAATTCCAAATATGCCTTTCAAATGCCTTAGGTCTGACAAGAAAAACACTAAGTTTTGCGTAAATATAAGAGTGACCACAATTAGCTGGGGGACTCAAAGTACCCGTGTCAACAACATAGACTGGACAGTTAGTGACAACAAAGTCTAAAATAGTACAACCGGGTCCTGATGTAGATTGTTGCATTCAAGCCTATTAAAAAAAAAAAAAAAAAAAAAAGCCAAAAGCAGTGCTATTAGAAGCATTGTTTGGATCATAGTGTGCATTAAAATCGCCCATTTATTACCAACATTTTTTACTCCCGTACGAATTATTAATGATTGTTATTCGTACAGGAGTCGCGGTTCAGCGAATATTTTAATATGATAGTATTGTTTGGTTCATGGTAATGCAGACCATATCGGTCCTTTCAATGGATGTGAAGAGGCCTTAACCTCGTAGTCTCACGCGTAGTTCACATCCAGCGAAAGGGCCTGTGAACCATCTTATCAACTGTTGAACCATATTCTTCCATTAGGTTTCTTTTGAACTATTTTATTTTACATTTTGGTCTACGTTCACCAAAACATATAACATTTGGAATAAAAAAAAGAGAAAAGTTTGATGCTTATAAAATATTTTCCTTTTGTTCTCTATCTAGATAAAAAGGATCTTATATAATGGACGAAGGAATTCATTTGGTTTAGGAGTTGATTAGTAGCTTCAGCAAAAGTCCTTTCAGTGGATATGAACTTCATGCTAGCAAAATAATTCAGATATCCTTGATTTGGTAAAGGGTAAAGAGGTAGGTCCAAAGATGTAAAGTTACGATCTGATTTCTAATATAAATCAGAACAATGGTAAAAAAGTGATTGGTCTCCCTGTGGTATCTTCACATTCGTCGMACCACAGGTAGTCCATACTTTTAAATAGTAAAAAATAAACGCGCACTCTAAATATATGTTTTTGAACAAACATAAAAATCACTACTCACGTTTTTCTGTTTTCACTTGAATAGCATTGATGCGGGGATATATACTGTATAGAATATCCGTTCCTTTGGTTCAAAGACTTTCTTTTTACCGTTTGCGGTATCCATGGTAACTGTAGGCTGCTATTTTTCTGTTTTAAATTGTTATAGTGGCAAGAACACAAGTGAGGAGTTTTACAACGTCGTTTTCGATTCCTTGTTTGATGAAAAAGAGAAGAAAAGGGATGATAAGTGGAATAAATTTACAGATTCTCACAGAACCTCTTAAAGTATCAATCTCATAAAAGCCATACTTTTTCGATAATTTTTCGAAATAACTGCGTCAAAGTACATTTTCTAGTAATGATAGACTTTTCACTGTGGTTTCAAGTCGAAATACTAAAGTAAGATTTTTCTGGTTCCGACACTCCAACTAGGAAAAGTCCGATCCAAGGAGTGAATCCAGATTGGGATTTTCCACAATTTTAGATTTTGAGGCAAAAAGTAACAAACTCTAAAAGAGCAAGAGAAATGGGGATCAATGGTGTAATTTGTTTTGTTTTGGTCGCCAAGGAAATAGATTTACGAGCATCTAAAGTTTGGACCCGCAAGCCACTTGTACGCCTATAAATACAAAACAACCTCCTCCCCAAGGCACTAGATACTACAATTGGCCTTTCTGGGGCCAAAATTAAGCGCTTACTAGCTTTACTATGCAGATTAAAAATTTACTAAACCAAACATACTAAAATCCAATGCGATGTTTGTTTTAGCCGCGCCGTGACTTTGATTCGCAGGAGTATCGATAAAACGCTAAGGATAATCCAAACGCGGTTTCTATATGTGGTATATGAATCATTCGTAGCATTTTGTTACATGTTATTGGCGGGGCGCAATCGCAGAATCATACGATATCCCGTTAAACCAGGCTATTCTTGCACCTTTAAGATAACTAAACAGCACGGCCGTATCTAGGGTAAATCCAGGCTTACATTCTATCCGTTCAGACAAGCTGAAAACTCGAGCCCGAAGAAAAGAATTTGGCAGCCTGTTGTATCGGATAAAACGGATGTCCACTACTAGATTAGTCTGTACCTTTACTTTTTTAACATTCATACAGGGTCTACTCTTTATGCTTTTTGTATCCTTTAAGTGGTAAGATAAAAGAAAACATGACTTCCAAATGGCTTTGATAGTGAAGTATTCAAGGAACGCGGGTAAAGACTACGTTATATCACGGGCGATGAGTGACCACATAAAATACAGTAAATGTATGTAATTTGGGCTGTGAGGGGCCCCTGAAATGCACTCTACGCCCGGGATGTAGTCTTTTTCTCAAAACACATCATTCATTCACAAGTTAATCCTAATATTCCTTGTTCTTGCAGTTGGTTGTATCATGAAGGAATCGTACACGAAACCGATGCTGAAGATGATGGATTTTATTCAGTGTTTTCTGTATAGGAATGTCTAAATGACCGGTAGCCGGCTTTGGTTTTTTGGTTTTATCACGCAGCAATCGTACATTAAACCAAGATAAATGAGAATGGATCTAGCCCGCGCCAAACTCATCATGGACGAAGCGACGAGCAAAAAGTTTAAGACGAAGTTGGAAACATTTTATCTTGATCATAGACATTCAATTTTCCTTCGAAAATCATAAATGTCCATTTGAGCATTCAGGTTATTTTCGCAAGCTAAGCTATCTCCGGGCTCGTAATCCTTCACACTCTTCGAGCTTCACTACAAAGATGCCCTCTCCTGTCAATGAAATCCTGTTGAAATATAATGTAATAGGCTCACTTTGGTGTCCTTTTGAGTGTTGTGGTCTTTGTAAAACTAGCGACTCCGAACTTTTAAGAAACAGGCTTGAAACCTGGTAAAAAAAGGTGAGCAAAGCCGTTACTTTTACTATTTTTACACTAATAACGATTGGTTAATTATCCACATCAAAAGCTTTATGTTTTTACAATAACCGTTTTTTCATTCATAAAAGTCTTAACTATTTTTCGAGAAGCTTGAAAACATAAGCTTACTAGATTTTGAAAATTCAATTTATTTACCATTTTTCATCTCGTTAACAACAAAAGTTTTTGAAAAACTAATAAGTTTACATTCATTTATACTTGACAAGAACAACTGAGGCAAAATAGAAAATAACGCAGAATGCAATGCAAATACGAATGAAAATTTTCTTTGTCAGTAAATTGGCATTTGGAAATGTTTTTAAATATTTTCTTAGCTCTTTGAAAGTGAAAGACAAGGTACCGCTCTTTATACAATAACATATCTCACAACAACACGAATTTAAGCTCATTTTAAGAATCATATACTAGGTCGAAAAGCTCAATAAACAATTGAATATTTGGTGTAATTTTAAGACTCATTCAATATTTAGATAAATTATCTGTAGAAAGACAGGAATGTTATTTAGCTTTAAACTTGGATTTGTCTAATTGTGGAATTCAAAAAGTGCTTTTTCAAATGATTATTTTATATCATGTATGAACTACGAATACTCTTACCATAAAAACAAAACAAGTACTTTTTTCACTCGTTCGTCATGCTAGTTTGTTGCTCGTTTTCCGGTAATGTTGTAGCACACTGTGGCGAATTCTTTTTTTCTTGAGCCCCTGAATGCAATTTAGGCAAAGTTAAAACCGAGTCCAACCGGCCAGCGGTTTCGCCTAGCGACAGTGTGGGGGAGCCCATCGTGGTTCAGGGGTAGTGGCAGGGATTGCAGTGTGGCAGCTTTGTCGTTGTGTTGTCGTTTAGCCAACCACTTGTGGAAAGATTTTTGTTGTTTTCTCACCTAGTCGGGGCCTAGTATGGAGTATACTAAGTGTTAGTATGGAGCCTAATGCAAAGTCTACGGCCTGGAGCAGTTTTAACAGCCGTGGTTGGCTTGCCATCAGCGATTTTACCAGAGATTTTGGCAGCGAAACAACGGAAGCATTCATTGTCAACCTGGTCGGCCAACGGGCTCGGCACGAAGTTTTGTGTTTGCTGGTCCATCTTCGGTTTCTTTTTTCGACACCTGGTACTCATCCTTAAGTTTCTTCGGCAACAGGTATGTTAGATCCGGTGTTACTCTCGTTTATCAGTACTTCTCCCGGCCTAGCACTGCGAACTCTTTGTCTGCCTTTGCTACGAATTCACTCGCTGGTCGTACCAGCAGCTCATTGTTGGCCTCATCTAGTCATTTCCCGTCAGTTCTATCCCCTCAGCTTCACCAGCCGTTTGATGTTGGACCAAGATATTCACCTGTCCCAGCCAATTGTCTCAGATCTTGGCAGCACCTTGAAAGTTTTGGAACTTGATTTTGGTCTACTAGGCGATGGGAAAGTTATGTACTCTTTAGTATATCGTCATTCGTGTCTAGCTTATTCCTTGCCAGAATTTGCTTTGTCAGCGCTGTACGTGTGACGTACGGGTATCATTGCCTGCTGCAGCGCCTGTTGGCATTTTGGTTAGCAAAGTAAACTCTTTCAGTTATGTTGCAGATCTAGGAATTGGCTTTGTTGTCGTGAGTTATTTTTGTGGGAATTTGAGGGGTAGGGCTTGGAAAAATTCAAATTCTACAAGGGATCCTGTATAAACCAATGAACCAAAGAAGTTCAATCATTGCTTCAAAGATGTGGCTAGCCCGGTTGAAGTTTTCTGCTCTATTAAATCACATGCAGTAGCTGTTGTTGATGCTACGAACTGTGGATAATCCGCCCCTGCATACGATTCACCGGGACAGCATGGTGGGTGTACGGTCAGGCCAAAGGAGGATGTTTCACTAGCATGCTTTGCGCGCCGTACTCATTATTCATCTGTTCTTAGTGTTTGTTTGAAAAACTTCCTCTCGACGGCGATTTTCCTCGATTATTTCGCCAAACAAAAACAGCAGCCGTTTGCTTATTAAATATTTTCTGCACCCATACTGACAAACAATAGAAAGTCTGGACATTTAACTGGGACCTTGTTCGGTATTTTTGTAATTTTTGCCACAGGAAAAATCAAAATATGCCGTATYAATGAATGGATAGAAAAAGATAAAAATTGTTTTGACAAGCGAAGTGTTTGTAGGCTTTGAATTATGTGGGAATAAGTCGAAATTAAACGAAGAAAATTTTAAAAAGGAAACACCTACACAAAGTATAGCCTTCATACTATGCTATATCCCTTAAGTCTCCTTAAGTCTCCACGTTTGAGTGAGATACGGCCATTACAATTTCCACTAAAATTCGCCTTGTGTTTCGCTTCGTCTTGTCTTACGTCCTTGATTTGACGTGACCTGCTAGATTACCAAAAATTGTATTTTTGAGTATCTTCAGACAAATCTGATAATCTTGATTTTAAAATTCAAACGTATACTTCATATAATAACAACGACAATGTAAAATGTTTTATTTTTCATTTTATCAATCGAAGGTAGTTTTATTAAAGAGGAAAAAGAGTTAAGCTTACTTTTATTCACAGCACGTGTCACAAGCCCGACAAACAATTCAAGAATTTCCTTAATCTAACAAACTATAAACGAATAAATAGTCAAACCACTAGAGACTAATTTTATTCAACTCAAGAAAGCCAAACCTATCATTTCACAGTGCAGATAATTTTCTTTAAGAACTCAAATTCACAAAAAGCTTAAAAGTTCAAATTAATACAAAGGCAAGACATTCGAAGAAAATACTCAATCGAAGAAAGTAGATCGTATATTTTTCTCAAGGGTAGATAAACAACAACAAACTTAACACATGGCTTTTGTATATTACCTCGAACAACAGCTGCTAGATAAAACTTTATTCACTAGCGATTTTCTTCCAGAAAATCGAGACTGTCTTTGTTCAAAACGATGCAAGTCTTCTTTCTTCAATGAAAATGCCTGGGAAGATGGCTGATAACTGTCACAAATTTAAAACACGTAATACCAGCAAATTCAGTCTAATTGATCCCTTTTGACAATACAGTAGAGAGAGAGAAGATCCGAAGTGGAAAAGGGCTCACGATTTCCCTCTATAATCTTCATAGTCGATGTTTCTGCATTGACATGAAAGCGAAAATGAGTTGATCACGTGACTTTTCAGTGTGATAATATAGTTGGTGGAGGCGCGCAAAGCATGCTAGGTAAACATCCTCCTTTGGTCAGGCCTTTAGGGAGCATGCTATGGTGATGAACACCAACGCTTGGTCACAGGAAACGTTCAGTTGTATAATCCACCCCTGCATACGATTCACCGGGACAGCATGGTTGGCGTACGGTCAGGCCTTTAGGGAGCATGCTACGGCGATGAACACTACCGTTTTGTCGCAGGTAACGTCCAGTGGTATCATTCATACAACAGGCACCGCGTTAGGGCGGTTAACTGTTTGTAGGTCGCCGCATACCACTGCTGCTACACGCATAAGCGCTATAGGTGCGCTGCGCATGATGTAGGATATCTAGTACCCCCTAAAGCCTCATCTACGTGCAAGACGCAATCGCTCACCACACCTGGTCACCTGATTGTGATTCCAGGAGGCACTTAAGTCGCTTGTTCTCGGGGAGCGCGGAATCCCTGGGGCGGCCTGAGTTCTTTTCATATCCGGGGTACTAGTTGCGCTCTCACTCACGACTACTGATTATCTTCTGTCGGATTAGGGTCCGCTCTTTATGTTGCGCGGGGCGTGGTTATCCGTTGTCGCTGGGACACTGTGCTAATCGTGGCGCTAATCGTTGCATTGCGCTTTGTCAACTCTGCTAGGCCTGGGCATTGCCCGCTCTCTGTAGTTAGTATGCACTACCTTACCGGCGACAGGTGAGGCACAGTGCGTTCAACTGGTTCTTGCGCGCTTTAATTCCCACATTTTCATTGCGCTATCGCTTCCCTGCAGTTGCTAGTCGTTTGGGGCGATGTAGTCCGGCCGACTAGCCTGCTACCGGCCATCATGGCCCCTCGTCTTCGTTCGCTATGTGGGCCAACCATTGTAGTTTCACCAGACAGCATCAGGCTATTAGTCGGTGCTTGTGGGCCTGGTCACTTGTTGCGTTGATCGTTGCGCTTTCATATGTCAACTCTGCTGGATTCGTTGCCATTCGTCGCTGAAGGTCTGGGCAATTGCTGCGCTAGTCAATGCCCTAATCGTTGCGCTTTCATCGGTCAACTTCGAGGGATCAGAATACCATTCGTTGCCTTTGGTTTGGGCACTTGTAGCGCTAATCGTTGCGCTAATCGTTGCGCTACTAGTTGGCATCTTCAGTTTTCAACTCGGCTGGGTAAGGCTATTATTCAATGTTTTGGGCCTGGGCAATTGTGGCTTCATTGCTTAAGATGTGGGCACTTTTGCGTTGGTCGTTGCAAAAAAAATCGTTGCGCATCGGTCAACTCTAATGGAACAGACTATCATTCATTGCGTTGGGCTTGGGCATCCGTTGAGCTGATCGTGGGCGTTTCCATTATTAAACTCTGATGCATAAGGCTATCATTTATTGTTCGGGGCGTGGGCATTGGTACCCGCTGGGAATCGAGCTAAACTCATGCAAAGTGGTAGCTCGGCTCCCATTGGACAAAAGTGCTAACTTGCGGGCGCTTATTGACTCCTGGACTAAGCGTCAAGTGTGTCTGAGAAACGAGTTGGAGTCTATATTGACCATCTGCATCACGTAGAAAAAAGTTGTCTGGTTTAGATAGGCATTATTTAACCGCATGTTCAATTCGCTATGCTGTTTAAGAACCGCTACCATCCAATCCATGGAGTTGATGCTTGGGGTTCACCTAGTTCCGGGCTGGTAGACAGACCAGTTCATGCAACACTGGAACGGCTTAGGCTTATTATGGCGTTATTCAAGCACGACACCTCCCCCTTACCGTCAGTGGAAGCTGAACCGCAAGCGAATTTAGCTATGATGCCCTCCTCCATAAAGAGTGGTTCAGTGTGGAGTGATCGTCAAAACCCGCTGTTGATAGCCTACAAGAGCTCCTCCCAGTTACGATTGCCACCCAGTCTGGGACCGCTATAGGTATACACAGCGCCTAGGGTCGCGGCGTAGTCCAGCCTTACTTTCTTCGCTATCCATGTCCCAGGGATTCAAACCTAATTGTTGACGCCCGATCGAACGCGTTTCCGTTGGCAGGACTCCCGCAAGATGGATCTCCCATCACCCACGCTAATCCCGGAAGATCTACTGCAGTCCTCACGGTTCTTCTTAAAATACGCTGCAGAAAACGGATGTTGAGGGTTTGGCATTGTCAACGCGTCGGCCGTACGCTAGGTAGCAAAGGAAAGGCATCTTGTTCTGTTCTAGTTAATCTGCAGTTCCATGTTTGCTTGTCAGAACACATCGATTTGATTGGGAATTAGGTAGCGGTTGACTCCAGGACTACTCACTCTGGTAAGCAGAATAGTTCAGCCACCCCTGTTTGCTGCCAAAGCTCTTCTAGATTGTTTGGGCTCGTCGAGATCATTCGTGTGGCTCTCTTTGCTGATGAAAAAATCGGGTCAGCCTCAAACCCGCACTGTTCTGATCGTATGGTTGTGGCTAATGTTCCAGTCACAGTTTTAGGTTGGGTAACGACAGTTGCTGCCCACAATGACTATCGTAGACTTTGGGAAGGTGGTCCAGCAATACCTACAAGGAATACATCCGTACTCCAGTCGAGGCTTTGGCCTCAGCGTCTGTACAGCTGACCGGCTACCAACTACGCATAATGATAGTCGCTGGTGGTCGCTGTGTCTTGGGTGGTTGTAATTGATTGGAGTCGGAGGTGCCCCTGGTAACCTGGCCACAGGGGTCCAGGGTCCTTTTCAAGCACTTGGTGGGCGATGGACTGTGGCCTGCTTGCCATGGTCACCTCTGCGAACGGACTGGTTAGGCGCGACCATCCCTCGCACCCTGGCACTCAAACCAAACTTATCACTACGATGAGTTTTAACATGATTTCTGTAACTCCCGTTTCTGAAGTTGATATTGTTAAGTTTTTGTTGTTTGGGCGTGCTGATTTGCATATTCGCACGTGTAGTCCTCATAGGTTTTTGACAAAAAAGGTCAAAACATCAAACAGCGGATAGAAATTAGTCAAAATAGTTGTAGGAAACCAGAATTCACAGAAATAAACCAGTTTGTTCAAAGCCTGTGAGGTTTGTGTTGCAGCTACAATTTCTTCAATAATTTTTTGTTTCGTTTTTACAATATATTTACAAAAAAATTGATAGTTAGAAAGCTCGTTAAAAAAAGTCGTCATTTTCCAAGTGACGTGTGATTTGAAAGCTCGACCAATCAGAAACGCGATGTACACCTGGCGTGGGCGACACTTTTAGCGTTACGCACAGGGTTCCCATGCAATGACCACGCAAACTGAGTTGCATAGTTTACCATATTCTATACCTATGGTACTCCGCTCCGCTATTATTATTATCCTTATTTACAATTTGCTTCAATTTTGCTTACAATGCGAGGTGTAATTAAAATAAAAAATAAAAGAAATCAATTAAAAGGGAAAAAAGAAATCAAGAATCAAGTAATCATAAGAGTTTTTCTAATGATGTGTGCAGTTCCAAGGAGAGCGATCTTTTGTAATTCTGTGATAGAGATGTCCCCTTTTAAATGGTTGACATATTGTTCTAGTCCTTTGTGAATTAACCCCAGTGCTCCAATGACAATAGGTATGGTTTTTGTTTCCATACCCCACATTTTTTTATTTCTATTTCTAGATCTTTGTACTTTGAGAGCTTTTCTACTTGTTTTAAGGGCACATTTCGTTCTGCTGGGATTGACACGTCTATCAAGGAACATCGTTACTCTACTTTGTTCTTCACTATAATGTCGGGTCTATTAGCTGTGATGGTTCTGTCCGTATGTACTTGCATGTCACATAGGATTGTTGCTGTGTCGTTGTCCATTACTTTTTCAGGTTCATGCTCATACCATTTTATGCAGACAGTAAATCCATATTGCTTGCACAGTTTCCAGTGAACAAGAACAGGACATCCAGATATGATGTGGTCGACAGTGTCGTCGTAATCACCGCAGATTCTGCATTTAGTATTAACATCTTTTCCCATGATCTTATTCTCGTAATACCTTGTAGGCAGCGTCTGGTCTTGTGCTGCTATAATAAGCCCCTCTGTCTCTGACTTCAAACCTGTTCCTTTTAACCAACTGTGCGTTCTCTGTTTGTCGACATCTGCTTTGTTGATTTGCCTGATGTACTGGCCATGAAGGGGTTTAGACTCCCATTTTTCACATTGTTTCATTTGATGAGATGATCTTTGTAGGTGCTCTTTATCCTTTTTGTTTTCCCAATTATGGAAACGTCGTTTTTGCTTGGTAGAGATTCATTTAGCACATCTGTTTCGGCACATTCGGTCTTGAATCTTTTACTTTCTTTGTGTATGGAGTACATCTTTTTGTTGTTCTCGTGCTTAGAGACTAGACGCACGAGGCAATCCTTGTTTTCTTTCAAGTACATGTCCAGACCAATAGTTGAGATCTTGTACGAGTTTTCTATCTGGACAAGCCTCTACCTCCCTCTCTTCTCTTGACACATAATCAGTCAACATCCGCTTTAGGATGATGCATGCGTCTAATCTTTTGATTTCACTTAACTTCCAGTTGATGATGTTGAAACTGTATGATACTACAGGCACTGCTAAGGTGTTGATAGCATGGATCTTATTGGCTGCGCTTAACTCACTCTGTAGTACCAATCTGAGTCTTCGATAGTACTCTTTTCTCACCTTTTCTTTCATCTTTGAATGCTGTATTCCATCACTTTCATCGATGCCTAGGTACTTGTAGGTTTTCTCTTGGTCAAGTTCTTTAATGATTGTGTCAATATCAAGTTGAATGTTCGATTTCTTTGTTACCTTTCTTGAAAGTAGCTTTGGCACGTTTGGCGAGACCAAATTTCATGTTGATGTCGTTACTGAAGTAGTGCACAGTGTGGAGAAGTGTTTCAAGATGGTTATCATCTTTTGCATACAGCTTGAGATCGTCTACATAAAAGAGATGGTCAACTTTCACTTTTTTCAATGCCGTACCCACATCCTGTGCTATTTAGCATGGTGCTAAGTGGTGTCAGAGCCAAACAGAACAGCACTGGTGATAGTGAGTCTCCTTGATAGATCCCACTTTTGATAGTGATCGTTCTTGTTTATAGTGTTCCTGCTGCGTGGCTCAGAATCATTGATGTTTTCCAATTCTTCATGGTGTGTTTCAGGAAGCTCCATAGTAGTGGTGATATCTTGTAGATCTGCAAAGTAATTAGTATCCATGGATGGGGGACACTATCAAACGCTTTTCTGTAATCAATCCATGCTGTACTGAGGTTTTTCTTTCTTTGCTTGCAGTCTTCAAGTCATCATCTTATTTATAAGGAGCTGATCTTTGCATCCATAGGATCCTTTTCTTCATACGTTTTGCTCTTTTGGTAATAGTTGATTGGCCTCCAGATGATGATAAATCCGACTTGCTATTATGGATGACATGAGTTTATACATGGTAGACAGACAGGTTATTGGTCTGTAGTTCTTTGCATCTTTTGTTTCCTCGGTCTTTGGGAGGAGATACGTGATTCCTCGCGTCATCCATTCAGAACATGTTTCTGGGTTCTTGAGGATATCATTCAGACTCTTTGCAAGGTCTCCGTGCAAAGCTGTGATGTTTTTAAGCCAGAAGTTGTGAATTTGGTCAATACCTGGAGATTTCCAGTTCTTTGCTTTTGTTAACGTGGATACGATTTCTGCTTGTGTAATGTTACTCCATGTCTGCTCTTCGATCTTTTGGTTTTGACTTTCTGTTCTTTTTATCCATTCTGCTTGCTCGTTATAGCTTTTCTCTTGCTCTAGAGTATCTTTCCAGAATTCCTCAATTTCCTCGAGCTTAACCGTGGTTCTTCTACCATGATCTGCCTTTTTCCAAGTTCCCTGTACATTTTGTTCTGTTTAAACTGCTTACTTCTCTTTTCAAATCTTCGTATTCTTTGCGCTTTAGCTTGTATTTGCTGCTTGAGTTGTGCCATTGCTTCAGGGATTTTGTTGACTGAGCTAATTAAATACTTCGCCATATTGAAAGATCTTTCCTTTTCCTCTGTATGGTTTTTATCAAACTGCTGCAATGGTGATTGTCTCGCTATCGTATGAGTCACAACCATCAATAGACTATTTACATCAGATGTCCTCGTCAAATTACTCACTTCCTTTCATAATAATAAAACACATATCACACGTTACATCAACTGATAATATTTTTAATCATTAAACTAAATATGGGTTATTTACAAACCAATTACTTTTCYCTTTGCTAATAAATATTTACAACAACATTGGCATTACTTCATCAAGTCTACAATATTAGGTATAAGGACACAGCTGATCAGTATATCACTGAATATAATATAATATAGTTTAATCTAAACTAGGCCTTTAGATATCAATGAAAATGCTATATGCTTATTTTAACATTGAGTTTGCTACAAAATAATATTTAGACTTCTAATTAATGTAGAGAGAGTTATAAGCTGATACTCAGCTGAACAACATTAATTTAGTATTCTTTTTTAACTCGTGAAAATGATAAAAGAAACAAATTACTAAATATTTATTTGGAAAAACAAAGAGAATCTACAAAACTAAGAAATACTCATTTCGAGTTTACTCATCAATAATGACGATAAAATCAATGTTTTTCTCAAGGTTTTCATGGAAATAATAATGAAAGTGTTATTAGGGTTATACTGTACCGTATGAGAGGGATAGAAGTGTAAAGAAGTGTTGAATGGTTGATATCTATTAACACCAAACAACTACTCTATTACCCCCCCCCATTCTAACACAAACACTCGACCATCAGCTGTAACTACTACATCAGCAGGATACAGCATCTGACCAACACCTGGACCACGGCTACCAAATGACCTTATAAACTGACCTTCTTGTGTGAAAAGTTGAACACGGTGATTATTACCATCACAGACAAGAATCATGTCTGCACCATAAACAGCCAGTCCATATACACCATTAAACTGACCGTCTCTTTCTCCCTTTTGTCCAAACTTGTACAAGAAAACTCCATTCACATCAAAAACACGAACATAGTTTATGTCATAATAAGATACAAAGTATTTCCCGTTACCATAGGTGATGTACTGAGGCTGTTCATTATTATCAGGCATATAAAACTCATGAACTAAATGTCTTTGTTTACTGAACACCTTGATACTTGGTTTGATACCCAGTTCTTGTTTTCCCAAACAGCACACTGCGATGTTTTTATCATCGTTAACACACATTCCACGCAACCATTGGTCATGTCTGTAGATGGTTCTTACATAAGTACCCTTCAAGTCAAACTCTTGTATCCTGCCTTTACCACGTGGACCATCACTGACAATTATTCTGTCTTCATTAAACATCACTCCACATGGATAATACAGTTGACCTTCTCCTGTTCCTTTCCTGCCAAACTTTCTTAAATAGTTTGCATCAAGACTGAATATTTGAATACGGTGATTACCACAATCAGCAATGGCTATCTCTCCATTATCACTGACTGCTATCGACAGTGGAACATTCAACTGTCCTCTACCACTTTCCTCTTCTCCAAAGGTTTTCACAGGTTTGAACAACTCCTTCACATCGAGTATCTCTACATTCTGAGGCGAGTTCTTGATCCTTTCTCCTCCAATATTCACCTGGATTTCGTGCCGTCCATTTTTGTGTGGCTTAAAACTCACACGGTATTTTCCAGTTTGCTGTTCAGACACTTTGTTTTCCACCTCGTTGCCCTCCACATCTTTGATTCTAACATCAATAGACTCGATTCTTGTGGGACACACTTCTCCTTCTGTATTCCTGGTGATTATATTGCACTCGTTTATAAAACCACGTGGAGTTTTCAATAATTCAATTGTGGATCGAGCAGGGTCCGTCACATTCTTCACAATCCTGCCGATGTCTAGCAGTGATTGCATGACTTGCTCTGTCACGGAGTAACGTATTGTCACGTCACGCTGGATTGGTTGACGGCACAAGATCGAAGGAGCTTCTGATAACATTTGACTTCTTTCTAGAATCATTTGCTTACTTTCTATTTCCTCGTATGCTACATCTCTCTCCAACAGTGTTCGGCAGTGTTGCACAAATTCATCTGAATCTTTTAATCTTGTTCGAATAGCCGTTCGTTCTTCATGATTTGCTGTTGTTAGTTCCTGAAGCGTCTGCTTCAGTTCCTCCTTCTTCGCTATTCCGTGTTGTTTGGCCATCTTGCAAATCATTTTAACCACATCATCAACGTCCTTCTTTGCCTCGGCAATCTCTCTTTCAATCCTCTCTATGTTTTCTTTAGATTGTTCTAATTCTTGTCCGTCGTTTTGCTTCCGTTGCTCGACTCGATTCATCGCTCCTACGATCAATTCCCTTGAGTCCTGTCCAGCGTCTTCTAAGCTCTGCAGTTGGTGGTTTTGGTGATTCAAAGTAGCGCATTTTTGGCAAACGCCGAGTCTACATGTTTCCTCTCTACAATAGTATTCAAGCTTCTTTTTCTCGTGGAACTTACACAGCATCTGGTTCTTGATGAAACTGTTTACGTTTTCTTCCTTAAATTGATTGAGCCTTATTGGTTGGTGTTCATCTTGTATTTCTTTGAATAACCGATGGGCGTCGAAGCAATCCTCGCAAATCAAGCCATTACACTTCGTACAAAACGCCACCAAGACTCGCGGTTGTTCACAGCTCATACAATGGGGCAAAACTGGCTGATTGCCTTTGCTTTTCATCCCATGAAGCAAGTCCAGAAGAGAATCCAAGTAGAACGAAGAAGGTAGCTTCGAAGGATCGCCGTCTGGCACAACTACTGTCGTCTTGCACATCGGACAATCCATTCGATTGCCTCCTTGATTTCCGCTTGCCTGATACCACTGAGCGATACATCTTGTACAATAACTATGAAGACAGGAGAGAGTTTTGGGCTGAGTGAATACATCTAGACAAAGGGGGCAGGTGAGTTGTTCTTCGATGCTGTCTGTGATGTCTTTGAGCGATTTGATTGCAGCCATTTTCGCAGAGACGCAGAAAAGAAATGCAGTGAATCAGATTTCTTGGAAGTAGAGAGTCATTTTCAAAGGAGTCACGTGACGACCCTATTGCGACAGCGTCATGGCAACAGACTATGAGACTCATAGCAACGCCATCTCTCAATGGTTTTGATTTTTAAATTTTAAATTTTAAATTTTAAATTTTAAATCTTTAATTTTTAATTTTTAATTTTTAATTTTTAA